AGCAGGTATCAATTTGTTAGATAGGTTCTTTAGTTTAATTAGTACTTTAGATTTCTTTTCTTAGTTTATTCGTTTTCATATCTGTTTCTTTTCAAAATATCCACCTTCTCGTAATTCCTCTTATCCTATTTGTGCTTCTTTTTTTTATTTTTTTTTTAGAGAATTTTTTTTCAGATTGGTGATATGTTATATAGGGCAGTGATCCTGACAAGATTGGTGGACACCTACTGTAGATTCTCGGGGTATAAATTCTCAGGAAGTTGGGAATCCCAGACGAGATAAAGATGAACCACTTAGACAGATCACACCTGGGTTTTCTTTGCAGAATTTCTGTTTAATAGATCGAGTGTTTCTTTATTAGTACTGGCTTATATAGATTATAACGTAGTTTAGCTGCTAAAACTATACAAATGTATGGTGTTGTATTATATGTCTAAATAAATAATAAAGGAAGAATCACTAAAAAAAAAAAAAAAAAAAATTTAAATAAAAAATTTATAAACAAATTTTAAGTATAGTATATAGTATAAATAACTATAAATATATAGTAAAATCTTTAAATAAATAATAACTAAAATTGTATATATGATTATATATACTCTTATCAAAATATACTATTAGATACTTTTAAAAACACTTTCAGCCAATTATACCCAGACAAACTTTCTCCAATAATTACTCATACCAAACATTCGACTAATGAAAATAAAAAACTTGTTAGAGGAAGTAGAAAAAATAACTAAAATAATGATTTTTACAGAGGTCAAAGCTTTAGATTGTTTTCATCTAGACTCTTCTGTATATTCAGTAAGCAAGTTAAAAGTGTTCTTGTACAAGATAACTAGCAGAAGGTGATGCTCTTGTACAAAAAATTTTAATAGAAATATAGCTTCTGCTGATAAAGTTAAAGTTAACTCGTCTAAAGAAGAATAACAAGCAAGTTTTTAACACACTCTCTATCAAAGTTTAAAACTATCTGCAAACTAAAACCCTTTACCAAGACCTACTCTCTGTTCTTTATGAAATTTTGACAAAAAGTGAAAATCTAGTATACCCTATCAAAAGATCAACAACTACAATCGCTGCTGAAAAAGAAAAATTACGTAAAGGAATACATGACTACTTTGGAATGAAAAACGTGTTTATTAATTTCCTTAAGAAGTTGTGGTATTTACACTGAAATTACCAAAGTTGTTAATTTTGCCCAGGAAACAAGCAATTGAGCATGAGAATACATTGCAAAATATCATGCCAAAAACCTGATGAAACCACAAGAGAAATTTCGAACCTGGATCTCTACTCAAGGATAGATATTTTATATATTCCAATATAGATATAAATAACTAGCATAGAGTTTAGACTAGTTTATTTAGTAGTACTATATAATTTTTACAATCCAGCATGGGTTTAATAATGCTATATTTGTTTTATTTTCTTTTATTTTGTTTTTTCTTTTATATGTTATTTTGGTTTTATTTATTTAGATAGATCGGATTTGGATATCAAGATATTATCTCTTTTTTTCTTTTTTGCTCTTTGAATTTGTGTTTGTATTTCGTTTTGTAAAAAAAAAAGATGATACTGATATGGCATGTAGCACTAACCAATGATCGAAGGATTTATGCTTCTAGTAAGTTAGGGGCCCAGAAGGAGGCAAACAGCCACTAGACAATATCGTACCTGGGTTTTTAAGTCGAGTGAGTCACTTGTTACGGTTAATAAAATAACTATAGTCAAGAATTTTTGTAATTTTTGCTTAGTTAATACCTTAATAAAACAGTAGCAGAACATGCCAAAAAAAAAAAGAAAAAAAAAAAACACTTTTAGTCCTATTTATACTTTAATAAAAATTCAAAGCCAAAGTAACTAAATTTTATCAAAATTTTTTTTAATATTTTTTTTGATTAATTTTATAATTTAGACACTTATATAAAGATATAACTATATAGAATATAATTGTAAAAAAGCTTGATTATATAATAATTTTTTGCAATTATAAAATATTTTATTTTACATATTATATTATACTCACTATATGTATTTATAATAATTTATTTTCTACAAAACGAATAATAAAAGAGAATAACATAATTTATTATAATTTTTTGTTAACAAATATGTTATATATAAAAAGACTTACTAAAACGCACCTATGGGATTTTACATCTATGAATACATCATCTCAAAAACTATACAGTTAATTAATCGGTGCGGAGTGTTCTAAGTAAAAATGTTCTATGCCCTAACGTGAAAATTTTGCGTTAAAAATTTTTAGAAAAATCGATAAAATAATAAAAACATATGATAGGTGCCAAATCACCATAGGTGCGTTTTATAATAAATGTATAAAAAATATTATGTAATGATATGTATATATCTTTTTCTCTATAACCATCTATATATAAATTTTATTCTATCTAACTGGTGAAAATAAAAATCGTTAAATTACTACCAAAAGCCTATATTTTATAGAGCTTTTCAAGCCAATCAAATTATTAATCATTCATCTTTTTGCATAAAAGTCTAACTTCGATAAATTCGCTGGGTTGGTAACCAAATTCAATGGAATTATGGTAATAGTGCCTATACAGAGGTTAATTTTTTTTAATAGTTGATAAAAAAAATAGATATAGTTTGTGACCGTGTCAAGAGTGACTATATCAAGTTTATACTGTATAATACATGAATATCTATCCAACCTTAATCCTGTTTACGTATGAAATCCATTCCTGGTTAGTTTTGATATTAAATGCGCATATGTTGTATTTATTAACATTAATTTAACAAATTTGAATGGTTTTTGAGTTTGACACTATTGATCGAAAGTGGAATATATATTTGGACTTTAGTTATGAACTTAAGTAAAAATCCCGATTCCCAAACTTAAACTATTTAGTAATGTCATAATTCAAAAAAATGGTTTGGACCGCAACCCATCAGTTCGAGCGAGTAACTTTTTCAAGGACGGCAGCATAATCAACTTCTTCTGCATCGGTGCCCTGTACCTCGACTGCAATGCCCACAAGTCTCTTGCGGATAGCATCCTTGCTTGAAGCGTAAAGCATCTTAAGCTTGACGTTATGTGTATTATCAGGAACCCTACACGCATAATTGGTATATTTGTTATTTTAACATCGTGGATTTATGTGATTGAAACAATCATATGGGCTAAATGCTGAAAAAAGGGACCAAATCAACAATTTTTTTACAAAAATTTCTTATGGGCTTTATAATATAAAAATCAATTTCCGCAACACTTATTTTTGTTAATTTGGTCCACCTAGCCCATATATACATATATATGAAAAAGATTATAATTTCTAAAGTTCTGCGAATTTGTAAATGCTAGAGATGCGTAGAACCTATTAAGGCTTATGGCATAACTATGTCATAACTATGGCTTATGCCATAACTGTTTTTACTGCATCTCTAGTAGATACTATGTAAAATCGTTCGCACTCAAAAAGTAATCTCTGGCGGATTACATAGAAAAATCATTGCCATCTGAGCATTTAAAAATAGTTTATCTACCAAACCTACCAAGAGAAGAAAACAATTTTATTGCGTTGACCTTCACCAGGTTTTTCGTAGTCGAAATCGTAAATAGCGTAGCGGGGCTCTTCTTTCATTTCATTGACCAGGACATTCTTGAAGTCTTCGTAAGTAGCACTTTCTTTTGCCCTATCAAGAATGATTTCTGGCTTGTCTTTGTCATCATTGATTTTGTACAAAATGTATTTGTATTTTTTTTTTAATTTGAGTTCTTGAAAAACTTCCATACATTCATCACTGGCAGTAACACCACTTGCGCTAGACTAAAGAAGTCATTAAGAGTTTAGTGCGGGTGAATACATTATGGCAGTTAATTCCAATCTCAGTACATACCATTTTGAAATGTAAAGGTCTTATCGATTCACGTTGAATTTTAAAATTTGCGCATTTGAGTGTCACTTTTTAAAGTACCCTAAGTAACGGTCATGTGAGATTCTATTTGAACATCTACACTCTTACTGGGCGAAATTTTAATATATACCGATACTGTAAGAGTTGTATGTAGGTTTTTTTTTTTTTTTTAAATTAAACAGATATCTCGACGATCACCGATGCAAAATTGATAACGATAAAAAATTTTTTATATTCAGATTCTATAAAATTACATAATTAAAAAAAAAAAATTTCATTAAAGTTAATTTAAATAAGTGATCGTCGAGATATCATCGCTTAAAGTTTAGAAAAAAACTTTGCCGCGGTTGAATTGATTTCATCCAATGTGATCGTTCAGGTACGTGCGTAGAATCTACACATGACCGTCACTTTTTTGGCCAGTAAAATCTCAAGATCAGATATGACGTACAAAAATCGTACGAGAAAATTTTTTTCTACCGTTAATTTCACATGACGTAAGATGGTATCACGTGTTTATATTCATCGGCCGAAGATTATCTAACAGAAGGTACATTATTTTGAATAAAAATCTGATACAACAGTAAAACTTTTATTTTTGATGGGTCATTAATGCCGTTTAAAAAATATACTATTTGTGTACTGTTCTCCATATGATTCCAAAAAAGGACATCAAGAACGATACAGATGATGTTATTTTTGCGATACGGCATATATAAATGTGTAACGATTGTTTCTCTATTATGATTATAGTTATATCATTGAACATTCCCCTATTCAATCGGAGTTTCTGTTGTACTCCCTACCGTCTTCTTCCGATAAACCTCTCGTCTATATAGTTTTATTAGTCTTTTGTGGCTACTTGTTTAATCATCATCTCAAATCTTTACTCTTGTAATTTCTTTCACTTTAAAACGTTATAACTGTAAGGTTCTCAGTTCTTCCATAAATAGTTATAAATTCTATTTACAAGCCTTTATACTTGTTTCTAAACGAGTTCTTGACCGTTTCAAACACAGCTGGGCATTTACCACTTAGACTCTCCGCACCCTTGTTAACAGAATGGCTGAGATTCGCCGAAAACTTGTCATTGTTGGTGACGGTGCTTGTGGTAAAACATGTCTTCTAATCGTTTTCTCTAAAGGCACTTTCCCTGAGGTATGTAACTTAAAAGAAACATAGTTATTTTTTAGTAATCACCCAAGGAAATCAATTCAATTGTCCCAGAGAATATTCTCATTTATTTTGTACAAACTGTTGACACAAGCAACTGGTGGAAATTTCGTTGCACAGTTCTATGTTAATTATTAAGAAAGTTATCTGTTTAAATCTTATGATTTTTTTATTCTACTATATGCGATGTGATTGTGGCTATCATCCTTTGATTGTTCATTGAGAGTATTGTAGATTCAACAAATTAGAAGCCTATTCATACTTAAATTTATTCTCATATTATTTACTATACAGGTCTACGTTCCTACTGTGTTCGAAAACTATGTTGCTGACGTCGAAGTAGATGGCAGACACGTTGAATTAGCCTTATGGGATACAGCTGGTAATAATCTTGGTCGTTATATTTCTGCGCCGTTAGTAAATCATTATACATTAATACTATCATGTTACGTTGGGAATAGGTCAGGAAGATTATGATCGTCTGAGACCCCTCTCTTATCCTGATTCTCACGTTATCTTGATTTGTTTTGCGGTTGACTCTCCCGATTCTTTGGATAACGTACAAGAAAAAGTAAGTGTTCAAATTTTGGCAATCAGCTTTGGTGTGATGGTATTGCATACATCAAAATTGTGGCAAAATATCCGGATAAGTATGGGACATTTAACTCAATAATAAAATTTAATATTAATCAGATATATCAAATGAGTTTCTTTAATGGAAATTCGTTATTTACCATTAGATATATTAAGTAATTATATTAAAATTTTTAATTTACCTTGAAATTTTAATTATTTTTATATTAATAGTGGATTTCAGAAGTAATGCACTTCTGTCACGGTTTGCCCATCATCCTAGTTGGATGTAAGAAAGATTTGAGGTTTGATCCCAAGACTATTGAAGAATTGCGCAAGACTTCTCAAAGGCCAGTGACACCTGAAGAGGTATGACAACGCGCTGGATCTACTATTCATTATTTCATCCTTTTTATATTTGTCTAATTTATGTGTTAAATCCTAATTTTTCTATTTATAATTTTACAAACAAGGGTATGATGGTCTCTCAAAAAATTGGTGCTTATAAATATCTGGAGTGCTCAGCCAAAACTGGTGAGGGCGTCCGTGAAGTATTTGAACATGCTACGCGGGCAGCGCTCTTGGCCAGGGGGAAAAGGAGGAGAAATACTTCACACTGTTTAGTTTTGTAAAGAAAGGGTGATTCCGTTTCTACGATAATCGATGTTGATTTTATTAGCAAGTAATGGAAAATTAGGTGTTAATTTTGTTTAATCTCAACTTTATACATGAGAATTTCCATTTTCCATCGAAATCTTTATAGTATTCTCTTGTTAAATGTCAAATATATATTTTTTTATTATATACGAGTACAATTTTTACCTGTGCTTTTTATTGTTTTCTATGCTTACAGATTGGGTTTAAGAATTTTACATTGATAGGATTTTTTGATTACCTTTATTATATTTGTTTTCGTACATTCTTTGCTGATATACACATATATTGCCTCTATTATTACTTGTTCTTATTGTGTTTATATTATGATTTTTGATTCAAACAAATTATAAATCCATCCTATTTAATAGGATCTGTTTTTATAACCAAATTTACATTAATGCGAAAAATTATTTATATTATTACATTGACGACAAACAAATTATTGAATAAAATAATGGTCAAAAGATATACAACTTGATGGGCGAAGGGTGGTTCATCTCGGATGTTTTAAAATTTGCATAATAGAGAAATTAGTATTGTTTTATTATTACGTAGTAGAAATTGTATAACGATGTGTCCAATTATGGCATAAAACTTTATATATAATATATAATATATATTTTTTTGTTATATTAATTTAGAATGTTATTTTTTTATATATAACTATATACAGTATATGATTGGCCAATCGAAGCTATATATAATAATTGTCGCGGCTGATTATGAAATCGGATTATTGTGAAATTTGGGGTCTCAATTTGAAAATATAGGCCCTACCAAAAT